AAATAAAAAATAGGTTTGTTTCCCCTAACGCGACCGACCCACTTAAATCGTGCCGACTGAAAAGTTTTTTAATAAGATTATTCAAATATTTATTTTTATTGTTTATCAACTTTATAAAACACGATTTCATCAAAATTCGTTTTTTATCAGAACGGCGGCTTTTGTTTTACTCTCATTTTGCGCCATGTGGCCACAGAGGGTTATTTAGTGTTATAAAACAACGGCGATGTATCAATCTTAATATACATCTTTAACTTATTAGAATCCTACACTCTTGAAACATTTCGTGAATTAAATATACCATTACTAAGGAGTGTTAAGATGGTATTTACAAATGTGTCTTCTAAAATTAACTTAAGTAGTTAGCATGACAAAGCCTGCCTCATGAGCAGAATAGGGGCCCAATTTGTGTATGCATATCAATAAATTTCACTCCATTTCATTCGTTTCGATCTAAAAAAAAACACTTCATGTATGATTCTATTTTTACTATATAGGACCATAGGATTTGTAAATATATCTTTGTATACTAGTAATTATTTCATCATTCTTGATGAATATAATTCGGATGTCATTTCTTCATTCCTTTTATTTATGGGGTAAACTTTGTGACTATAACATTAGATATATGAAACTTTAATCATTTTAGATATGGTTTGGTTGAATTAAATATTGTTTATACAGGTACTCTCTTTTCAAACAGTGTTGAAATCTTTAAAGTTGGCTTATGGTACGGCTTCCTGAGACGTCCAGTGTATTTTTCTTTTCTTTAGTTGGGCCCTTGAAAATGGGTTGTTTCTTTGCTTTAAAATACCTTTAAAAATTGCTGGGTCACAACATTTGAACACCTGCCTGGTGGAGGGCTCCTAATTTAGACCTTTTCTCGGCACTTATGGCCATTGATCATAAAGCATCAGTAAGGGATCTTTGTCGTGCCAACATCTACATGTATACTGTGACACTGCATGGCCCTACGTTTTTTACGGTCTTATTTGACTGACTAGTTTCCACGCCCCACGTCGGGACCTATGACTTAGAATAAGCTCCTGAATTACGTCGTGGCTTCAAAATGAAACACTAGAATTACTTCGCCACGCAAGGCCCTTGAGCTTTTATCTGTGTAAGCACTCGAAGATGATAGTAGGTTTAAAAAAAAATATACTCGGATGGCCGATGGTTGAGTATTTGCGAATCTTGTCTTTTTATAAAAATTCAATTTCAATAAATTTACGCTGGCCTGAGATATTTCACAAGTTCAAATGAATAATATTTGTGAATTAATTTACCATACACGTTGCTTTAAAATTTCATTTGTATGATATTCGGGTTAAAAATCGGTTTCTTTTTTCTTTCTTATTTATAGAGATATTATTCAATTTTCAGAATGTATTTTCAAAACTGCTGTCAGAAAAAAAAATAATTTACCTACCTACCTACTCAACTTGAAATTTTAGGGTCGGGTTAGGGGAAACAAAGATATTTTTAATGATGGCCTTATGAGTTTTGTAATTTTTTACTGACTACCCCCGGTACCACTCTTATTCACTTCATTCTCACTCTCTCCATAGTTTCAGTTTAAAAAAAAAATACTTGTCTGTCAGGCACGTACTATATCTTTTACATCTGATATGAAAATCTTTGACGAGCAAAAAGGTTAGACTTTTTTGACCTGAAAAAAGTTTGGTTTACATTAACATTTAACATTACAATAGAAAAAAAGGGGGAGCAACCGGCCTTTCAATGAATATTTTCGTAGAATATTAACAGTATAACTTGATATTTAAAAAAAAAAAGGTGGGGGATCAGGACCCTTTCTAGCTGCAGAACTGTAGCTCTTCAAAAAAAAATTGACAGACCGGAGAGCTACAGTGCCACCCATAGAAAAAAATGTTGCGCACAAAAAAGTGCGCTGTTTCTCGATTTATTTCTCCGTATTTATACACTGCAATCTCAAAATATTACTGACGTGTGTTCCTAACACATTTTTGCACTATTCCCACATCAAAACATTTCCTATAACCGTTGTTTATAGCCCTCCTGGGCCTGAAATTAAGAGCATCCAAAATTTCGCCTGTTAATACTGCCATTTTGGGTGGCTAGACAATTCGGCCAAACGCTCTTCGTAAAGATGTCAACTACAAGAGTAGTTGATAGAGGTCTAAGGAATTTTTTGAAATCGAACTTTTGTGCAGTTGAGGAAAGAATTTGGAGAAATAAATCCAGAACCGAGCGCAACTTTTTGTGCGCAATAAATACACATTTTTTCCTATGGGTGGCACTGTAGCTCTCCGGTCTGTCTTTCTTTTTTCGGAGAGCTACAGTTCTGCAGCTATAGCCCCTTCCCTCGTACTACGTGTCTGTCTGTTCAGAACTTGAACGCACATCGCCATGGAGATATATTTTTCACGCAGAGTACCAATTAAATTTGAAAATTAAAATTAAAAAAAAAGAAAAAGAAAAATTTTTTTTAGCTTAAACTTAGTATCAAACTCGATCGGTTTTAACAATATTAGTTGCTACAGTACATGTATAATCTAGAAGCACACATCCAGGCCCTAGGATCATGAAGCATTTTTAGACGGAAATCAAAATTTTTAAAATTAATTGTTTAAAAATTTCCATAACAGGAAACACAAAATAAATAAATAAATAAATAAATAAATAAATAAATAAATAAATAAATAAATAAATAAATAAATAAATAAATAAATAAATAAATAAATATTTATTTATTTAAATAAATAAATAAATAAATAAATAAATAAATAAATAAATAAATTAATTAATTAAAAAAAAATTATAAAGTTTGTTTCCATTTCATGCTGTTAATTTTAGTTTTCAAGAATCGGTTTCTGATAAATATTTATTTTATGAATGACTTAAATTTTGATTTAAATTTAAGTCTCCTTGGGCCTGAAATCGCAGAATGTCTGACTGTCTATGCAAAACTGCAGCAATATTCCCGAATTTTCATCGGGATCGGAAAGTCACGTGATTAAGTGCAAAATTCCAACATGGAGGAAAATGTTGACGGCTGGAGGACAACATAAACATTTACATGCAGGACTGAGCGTAAGTGTACAGATACAACGAATTCTTCACTAAATAACACCTAAAAAGCATTGATTATAAAGATAGTTAATGCTTAGTCGGAATGTGTATCCGGATTGAATGGCATGTGCGTCTACCTGAGACACATGTTGATGACACGTCACATAGGCTACACGATACCTTATCTTTCATACCAAAACAATCGTGTTTAAGAAAAAAAAAAGACAGATTTTATTTAGAAATAGTTTTATGTTCTGGTGCATTGTAAGATAATGTGCATAGTCATGGTAAAATGAATGTGAAGAAAAAAGAACAACCCTAGTAAATCCTGTTTGCTTGTTTGTTTACAAGTATATATCCTATATTAAGTTTCTATGAAACAGGAAGGCAGTTAGCACACAAATATATAAGCAGGTGACACGTGACAGCTGGCTGTATTTGCTATGCACAGCAGATGAAAATGTATATCCTGCAATAATATATGGCTGACAACCTGACCATCTTAATCAGGTTGGGACCAATCGCCCAAATGGGATATAATAGCTCGAATGGGATATAATATCCCAAATGGGATATAAATTTACACTGCAAGAAATGAAATTTTTATTTTGGCGATAAATATCATACATCCACATCAACATAATTATAAAGGAATAACTTTTGGTTTACAAGTTTTTCTGTATGCCCACTGTTTAGGAGATTGATCCCTCAGAAGTTCCTAAACTTCTTGGGGATTAATCTAACAAACTGTAGGGTTGCAGAAAAACTTGTATGCAAAAAGATATTCCTTTTTAAGAATTCTGATGCCGATTTGTGATAGGTATAGCCAAAGTGAAAATTTTCATTTTTTGCACTGTGAATTTATATCCCATTTGGGATATTATATCTCATTCGAGCTATTATATCCCATTTGGGCGATTGGTCCCAACCTGTTAATATTTTGATAATAAGTTCTTGTGCTTATCATGCTTATGTTTCCTTGTCCTTGTGAAAATAAATCACTTATTAGTTTGTTAATGACTGTATATCATTATTATTACTTATAAGGTTTGTTACTAACTGTCTACAGAAATATATCAGGTTGATCAATTCCATAAATGTCGAAACAAGATTAAACCAATGAAAGTATAACTGCAATTCAATCCAAGGGAAAATAAAGAAATATTTAGGGTTAATAGATCCCATGAAGACTATTTGGCTGTAAGGTTGATCAAACTGATATATCTCTGTCCACAGTCAGCATGGTCGGTAGCAAACCAGATAAGTAACCTTTAATATTCTAAATAATAATTTATAGAGATAAAGTAATTATAACTTTGTCAGCATAAATGAAAAAATGATCTTTGAATTTGATTATTTGAATCAATTTTCTTATTCATGTAAGTGTCAGGGTGGGAGTCATGTAGCACGTATAGAAAGAAAATACATAAATTATATATATATATATATACATGTATGTATATGTATGGCATTAAAAAAATAAATAAATAGTTGAAATGAAATAATATTATAATCTTGTGATTTTTTCCTATTACAGAATATGGAGGATGAATATATGAAGTGTTGATACCTGAAAAAAAAAGTCCTAAAGGTGCAAACAGGTACAGTATAACAATTTGTGCAAATCTGTTTTTTAGAATTTTGAAATTTGTCCAAAAGTGTGGTAGAAAAAAGGAAAAACTCTAAGTTAGTGTTCAGTGAAATTAATTTTTTTACCCTAATTCTTGCCAATTTTAATTTTGAAGTCAAAGAAAATTACAACTATAGTTCTTTTTTTTCTACCAAAGTTTTAATTTGATATGTATCACACCACTCTAAACATAGTCAATAAATAAGGCATTTAATGTATAATGACCATTTTGAAAGACAAGTTGCCTGTAACAATATATTGTCTGAGTTTATAGAATTAAAGTATTGTTTCTATCTGTTCAATCATAGCCCAAGGGAAGAAGCAACATGGCTGACAGTGACCTTGCCATGCAGTGTGAGGCACAGGGGAGGATGATAGAACAGCTGAAGACTATGATCCGAGACAGGGAGGATACAATAAAAGCCAAGGATAAAGAGCTGCAGGTGAAAAAGAAGGAGTGTTGAATCTTCATTTATTACATACTTAGTAATAAATACAGGATTTTTGCATATGCGATATGCCTGACATCACAATAGCAGTATCAGCCCTGCAGGGCTGTAACGGAACAATATCACACCCCTAATAAATTAAACTTTAAAAAGCAGTACTTGTGTTAATACACATATTTTTTTGTTTCACATTCTCTTAAGTTTTAATTACTGTTCTTTGATACAATAAGCTACGTACGTGTCAGTTGTCAGTGCATGATTATCTATTTGTTTTTCTTTTCTCAAGTTGATATGTGCTGTATTTTATTACATGCACTAAGTATGTAATAAACATAATAAAACATACTCTTTTTTACATCACATCCTGTATCAGCCCTCTGAATGATATTGATGATTTGATATGTAAAAGGGTATGTATTATTCTCTATATATCACAAAGGGTCAAGGAAAGAAAAAAAATTGCATGTATTGCACTAATGATCTAAATGCAGTGTATATATACTCTTAAATATAGTTATATTTATAAGTTGTATATTGAGGATATTAGTGATTGATAGCTATGTTTCATTATGTTCTCAAGAATAAGTAGCAATACAAATAAAAATTTGATTTTTTCATACAATACATATATTTTATTCTCTTCTTTAGGAGACAAATGCTAAAATTTCCAAATTAAAACTTCAAGCAAAAGCAAAAGTAGCCAAGGATGCAAAGACTGCTGGAAAGAAAGCAGAGGATACTTCAAAGGTACGGGTGATGTGTTGAATGTGAGAAATGTGGCACCCGTACAGGTTTGAGCTAATTTTCCAAATTAAAAAGTGTGATGAATGCTTAGAGTCAACTTTTATTGCTGTGGTTATTTATATTTATGTACAAATTCTTTGCAACTTTTCACCTAATATTTTCAGGTATTTTCTTTATTCTGTGATTCTGTAGTATGTAAGGGTTGTAGAAGGTTCATTACTGTAAATCACTCTTTATTTAAGAAAACTTAATTATCGCATAATTACGTGAGACTGTTTTCTTGCAAAAATTTCATTTTGTTGTATATTTGTACTTTTTAAAGATTATTTGAAAGAATAACCAGATTCCTGAAAATTTTATCTAACTTATAAATATCAAATAAATTTCTTGCATGAATAAGATGTCACAAAAATTTGGTGATCTACGATATTTCTTATTTGATTTTGCATTTTTGAGTTGAAATTGTGATAGTATGTTTAGAAATCTGACAGAATCTTGTGGTACTTTACAAAGGAACACCAGGAGGGAGCCACAGGGGAGGATGAGAGTGCCACTGACAAAGCAGGGAGGGCGAAAATGATAATGTTAAAGAAGAAACTGGAGGAGAAAGATCGTATCATCAGCGAGAAAGAGGAACTCCTAGCCTCCAAGGATGCACTGATTGAGGCAAAGGTCAAGGTCATATCTGAGCAGGAGGAAGCCGTCAAGACTCTGTCATCACAGTTGGAGGGAAACGCTAATTTGATTGCACAGTTACAGTCTGAACAGACATCAGAGAGCTCTTCTCCTGAGGTAAGGGTTTTGAATATGGATACAGAGTTAGTTAATGTCTGAAAATAAAATCTTTTGCTAGTTTATAAGTTTAAGTTTGAGAGATTAACATGTCAAGGTTTTTTGTTGTGGTAGAGTGGAGTACAGGAGATGTATGCTCAGATTGTGTACAAAGACAACAAAATTCTGGAGCTCAACAACAAGATTCTGGAACTTGAGAAGAAGATGATGGATCTTCAGGAATTCATCTCAGAAAAGAATGAGGTCATAAAGGGAAGAGACAAAGTGTTTGAAGTAAGCAGCATAAGCATGTTAACAAAGTGTCCACACCCTTTCTGTTTCATAAGGCTACCCAACATAATTCACTTCGTCTGCACTGTACACTTGATTTTTTTTTTTTCAACTTTCAAACTCTGCACCCCTGTCATGGTAATGTGCCAGCCAAAGTTTTAGATATTGGGGTTAGATGTTTTAAATGGACAATATTTCTAAGTTATTTGTCACAAAAATGATGGGTGGTGAAAGATATACAGTTGAACTTTGTTATTTTGAACTTCGTATTCGAGATAACAATGTTAGAAAACTTAAAGAAAATTGAGTTATGCCCCTTTTCTCATATGCTAACAGAAAGAGGGTTTTTTTTAGATACACAATATATTTCTTGTTAAAACAGTAATTTATGACTTAACCTTTTATATAAAAATGTTTGGAATAGCAATATTTATAGTTAAGTACATATTAAAATTAATATAATAGTATAAAAGAAAGAAGAATTTGTTAATATCAATTTTTGGACTGACATGAAAAAAAAGCTATCACCTCTCTCTCTCCCCCCCCCCCCCCCCAAAAAAAAAGAAGAAAGATCTGCCTGCCGCATTGAATTTTGACATTTTTCGGCCTGAGAAACTAAAGATCAATTTTTTGGGGCCTTATGAGGTCAATATTACTTATACCTGCTAACTATGTGACCTTGATGTATTTTATCAGCTTGCTTTTCTATATGCATGCACAAAGATACTATTAAGGTCACTATACACTCTTGTGATGTGTCCATTTGAAAGACCAAATATTGAAAGCAAAGATCCCAATTTGACTCCTATTTCCTCATCTAACTATTTTTTTATGCACCTTAAATACTGAGGATTCTTAAAATGTGATTAATTTATTATTGCGTAACTCTGTGAAAATCACCACACATGGAAAAAGAATACTTCTGCTATAGTTGTAATATTGCTGAAATACATATGAGAACTTTTGATCAACAGTCCACTTGCAAATTCATCTCACATTTGATGTTTTTGAGTCATTTGGCATTTATTAGTTACTGACATACAATAAAAGAAATCTCAGTTATGTAGATAATCACAATAAAATAATCAGTCTAATCAGTGCTAATACTTAAAAAAAGTTTGTAAACACATTCTTTCAATTTCAGATTTTGCAGACCACAATCAGAGAAAAGGATCAAAACATACAGAGTCAAGCTATGCTGATATCCAAACTTTCTGCCAAAGTAGAAAATTATGAAGAGAAAATTGCAGAAATGAAAGAACAAGTAGAAAAAGCGGATCATGCTCTGAAACTGGAACGTGAAAAATTCGATATGAAGCTTCGAGAGACACAGAAATATTTTGAGGAATCTTTACAAGAGAGCCAGGGATTAGTGACAAGTCTTCGTGAGAATGTAAAAGTGAAGGATGATGAACTCCTAATGAGAGAAAATGACCTCCGAGAATTAATAGCAAGACATGAAAAAGACATTCAGAGGATAATGGCAAAGGGAGAAGTAGATCTGCAAGATCATGTGTTAAAAATGTTGGAACAGAAGTTGAAAGATACGAATGAAGTTTTAGATGGAAAAATAAAAGTGATTGAAGTGCTTCAGAAAGAAGTGACAGCTAAGGACAAACAAATTGAGGAAAGTTTAGAGGTGCAAAAGAACTTTAAAGAAAAGCTTCAGTCAACTTCAGAAAAGTTGATGCTCATGCAGGCCAACATTGTAGACATGGAAATGCAGTGGAAAGACGAGAAGAAGAAGCTAGATGGTAAAATCAGAGATTTAATAGAAAAACACGAACTGGAGAAAACAGAAAAAGAACTGACAGTACAGACCATGCAGGTTCAGCTTTATCAGTATCAGACAGCTTACACTCAAGCTGTGGCTCATTACAATAGTCTTCAGGAGAGATTCCTTCATAACACCAGGCCTGGGGGAGCTGTTCCTGTCTCACAGGTACCGCAGGAGGAGGAGAAGACAAAACTTCAGGCTCCAGAGCAAATTGATGCTACAGCACAGGTGATGGCAGAATTGAAAGAAAAACTCTTAGAAAAGGAGAAGACTATTAAAGAGCTAGAACATTATAAGAGTGACTTTGAAATGGCTCAAGCTAGAGTGGTGGAAGCTGAGAAACAAATGGAAGAAAAAATTGAAGAATTGAAGAAAAGTCTGAAAGGAACTGAGGAAGCTAGTTCAAAGAATCTGAAACAGAAAGCCCAACTAACAGCAAAGGTCAAGTCCCTGGAGAAGGAAATTAAAGAACTCAAGGTGAGAGGGAAAAACTTTACATCTATAGTTACAGTCCCTGAAATGTTCTACTTTCCCATTTTTCCGTTCGCTCACCGTTCGTTCAGCGTGTGTTCACCGTTCGTTCACCGTGCGTTTCCCGTTTGCTCTCTGTTCACAGTTTTGCGTTCACCGTTCACCGTGCGCTCGTGTTCACCGTTCACAAAGCGTTCAGCGTTCGCTCTTCGCTCCGTTCACTTTGCGTTCACCTTGCGTTCAGCGTTCACCTATCGTTCAGTTTTCATTGTCATTCGGAACTCCGAAGTGAAAGGACTTATCTTTTTGTAGGTTAGGAGTTACAGGTTTTTTTAATTTAATAACTAACATATCGTGTTTGAAGATTCATTATTCCATGGAGAAAAATATGTATTTTTATTATTCTAACTTAGCTGTTAGGTTATTTATTAAATTAATCTGGAAAATAAATGTTGTTATAAGCACATTCTGTAGCTATGTAGAATGATGCTGGAATATTGAATTTAACTAAGGGCAATGTGCAAATACTTCAAACACTGCAACATTTTGTTGTTTTGTTAAAGACGACAAATCGTTAATGGAGATATAATCATCCAAGTCAAATAATTACGCAGCAAAATTACAAAAATATTTATTTCTAACACTTTTTTTTTCAAATACTACAGAAAATATGATAGAACTAGTTCTGAGAGTTATACGTAGTACTGCGGATATCGTGTTAATTTATTATCTTTGGAGCGAATGAAATTGATAGTGTGGTTAAAGGAAATATTTGAAATGTAATGCACTACAGAATTTTCTCTACTATAATATGTAAAGTCTATAGTTATAGAAAAAAAAAATCTTTCTTCACCGTAACTTTATATGTTTGCCATTTGATATGATTAATACCCCCCCCCCTTTTCCCCCTAAATCGGTTACTTAGTCAGTATTGTATTTCCAGAATATTTTGATTAACATTTTTAAAAAAAAGTTAAGGTCTTTTTAAGAACAAAAATTTCAGTCTCAAAACAAACATGCATCTAAAAATGTCACAAAACAATAGTAGTTCAAAATGTACACATGTCGGCGGTGGTATTTGGAATTGGCAGAGAGTATGTTTCAAGTTCAAGTGTTAATGCCCAATGTATTTTATTCAATTATTATTCAAATGTTGGAATCAAATCTAGAAATGATAAAAATAAATGATATAACTTGTTGGAAATACTCACACTTCGTCTTCGATGTGACGAAACTTTCACACCTGCACAGTGTCGAATGATTTTGATTGACAGGACAAGCACGTGGACTTCGTGTGAACTTGAAGCAGGAAAATAAAAACGAGTATGACTATCAAACAAAAGGATATGATTTGTTGATTAAAATAAAAAGTTACTTTCACTGTCTGATATATTTAGAAAAAAAATTCAGAGTTTTTGTTTGATATAGGTACAAACATTTAGTGAAGCCTGAAATGAGGGGGGGGGGGGCTAAAACGGAATATTTCTCTCTCTCTCTCTCTCATTTGTCTGTTCAATAAAAACTATAACAGCATATTACTTGAATATCAAGTTCTGAAAATTGAATTTATAACAAATAATATGAATATGTATCTTTGTATTATCTTGTCCGAGTATAATCACGGCCATCTACAGATAAATGTAGAAGTCTGCTCAATAAAAATGGCCGTAGGAACGGGGGGGGGGGGGGGGGCAAGGGCAAGGGGGGACCGTGCCCCCTCCCTCCCCAATAATTTTGCCGATATATAGATTACTATAGTAAACATAGGTACTATATGCTTGTGCCCCCCGCAATAAAAAGTCTGATGACCTTTTTTTTTGCTTGTCAGGAAATATTTGGTAGTGCCCCCTCAACTATCAACTGAAAATGTATGGCTGTGATTTAAAACTTAATGTGCATTCATCGTCTTTCTCAGGACGATTTTGGAGAATTTATTTTATTGACTTATTTATTCATTCAGTTATTGGTTTACTTATTTATTATTGATTGATTTTTTTTTTTTTTTTGCACCTGACATTATAAAACAATAAAATAGTTTCAATGCAAGGAAAAGACCAGAGGCATTCCGAATATATCATTCATCTTGCGTTCACCGTTCGTTCACCGTTCACTTTGCGTTCGCGTTTGCGCTCCGTTCGCGTTCTGCGTTCGCTCACCGTTCACACATCGTTCACCAAGTTGCGTTCAGCGTTCACACATCGTTCACTCACCGTTCACTCACCGTTCGCTCTGCGTTCGTTCAGCGTTCGTTCACCGTTCGCTCACTGTTCAAGTGGGAAAGTAGAACGTTTCAGGGACTGTAACAGAGTCAGGGATGTACAATTTGATTCATTATTTATTATATTCATTTAATTCATAATATGTTTGAAAAGTACATGCCTGGGAATGAAAATCACTTATCTGAAAGCATAAACTCATTATGAGCATGCTCACTAGTTCATTTTCTATGTCTGGATGTATGGACATTTTCTTTCCTGTTCAATTTTTGAGCACTTGATTTTTAATTTATTGAAAAAAGAATTGATCGAAAACTATTGGAGTTGTGTAACTGTAATGACATAAGGCCAAAAAAAATTAATCAATAGTTTCTCAGACACTGCCTCATCAGGTCAAACACTGCCGCATTGATCAATTTTATTGACATATATTGAAAAGGGAAATAACTTAATTTTCTATTTTTCCAAGTTGAAAAAGAAAATTGAGTTATTCCCCTTTTCATAAGTGGTAATAGACGTTTTTATTAGATAAACAATACATTTCTTGTTAACATGGTATTTTATGAATTAACTTTGTGATAACATTATTTACAATTGAATACATATTTCAATTAATGTAAGAGAACAAAAAAAAAAAGAATCGATTGATATCAACATTATGTTGAATGACTGACATGAAAAAAAGGTATACAGGGCTCTCGATTGTCTATAATTGGGGCCGTTCAAGGGCCCCATTCCCAATTCAAAAAAAGGTACCTTTTTTCCCAATTGAATGTGTTAATTTTCCCAATAGTCCCTTCTCCCCCCAAAATAAAGAAAATATAGTTGGATATATAACTAAATTTGCTATTCATATCCTTCTATATTGGAAAACAAAAATTTAGTTGATAAAAAAATAGACCAGAAACCCAATATATCATGATTTCAAAGTATAATAGTTATCTGAAAATTTCCCAAAATGTCGCTATTTTCCCAGACTATGGCCCCAGCCCCATTCCCAAAAAGTAGTGTGAGAGCCCTGGTATAACACCTGCTTCCACAAAAAAAGAACCTGCCTGCTGCATTGAACTTCGAAATTTTTGGCCTGAGAAACTATTAATTCATTTTTTATGGCCTAATCATATAGTATATCAAGGTTTTCTTCTTTATCAAATGTCATTAATGCTGACTAAACAAAATCTATGTATTTAGCCTTTTTTTTATTATCTGATCATCCATTTTGGAATGATTACCTCTAAACTGCTATGGTTTTGTGTATATTTTTTTCTCATGAAACACGCCCAATGTTTAAATAGTTGGTGTAAACAGTGTGTAACAAAAGCACTGTCTTGCACAATGCCCAAACACTAGTCAAATAGAAGAATGCAGGTCAGCACTAGATGGACTGGACTAGCCTTGTTGATTAAAGCTAAAGGAAAGAAACAAATCTGTCATTTTATTTTTTACTTCTAAGGGGGCTAGTAGTAAGTGATTCAGGCAGGCTAGTAAAATTTTGCCAGTGCTTGCCAAAATAGGCTACTGCTGAAAAAAGTGTTTGGCATACATTGTGTAAACCAAATCTAACATACATGACATCTGTTTTCAAAATGATTACAAAATTTAAACTATTTTCCTTTTTTTTTTCAAGCTATGAATTATATAAAGCTGGAAATGAATGCGGTAGGATTAGATTTCCAAATGTTTTATCTTTCACAGGTATCTACCAGTGCTGAGAGGAGCAAACAATTAGAGGAAATAGCTCTACTCAAGGAACAGCAAGCGAAAGAAGAAGAGCTTAACCTTAAATCGGCTGATGACTCAAGCTCTCTCAAAGAAGAAATTTCAACATTAACATCTGAAAATGGAAAACTCCAGAAGCTTGTCAAGAGTCAAGAAAAACAGATTGAAGACTTGAATGCAGAACTCCAGAGTAAGGAAGAACATGTGAATTCATTGTCATTAGAACTAGAAGGTAAAGTACAGGAAGCAAATTCACTCCAACAGTTGATACAACAACAGAAAAATGAAATACAGCAGTCTAAAAATGACAGTGACTCAGAAGTTCAGAGTTTAAAATCTCAACTAAGTGACCTAGAAAATCAGTTAAAAAGTTTAAGTTCAAATTCTGTCCTCAAAGAAAGTGAGGTAGTGGATTTACGAAGAGACTGTGAAAGCAAGCAAAAAGAAATCAATGATCTCAAAGACAATTTACATGAGAAAGAAGCTGAAACTTCAAAACTTCAGGACACTGAAAGTACACTAAAATCTCAATTGTGTTCATTACAAACTGAAAATGAGGAAAAGGAATCAGTGATACAAGCACTTAATATTCAGATTGAGGAATTAAAACATTCATTATTGAAGAAAAACTCTGAAATTGAAGGTGTTGATTCTAAGTTTAAAGAATCACATTCCATGTTAAGTACTGCTAACTCGGAAAATGAACGTCTTTCAAATGAACTTAAACAGACTAAAGAGGAGTTAAGTAGTGTTTCTAATCAACTTAAAGATGTAAACCAAGAGAGGGAACAGATTCAGAGTGAGTTAACAGAGACAAGAGAAAACTTAGACAATATTTCAAAACAAGTTAATGAATTAAATGAAATTATATCAAGTAATGATATTGAACTGAAAAGGAAGGATGACGAAATTGAAAGTCTTCATTCAGACTTGAATGAAATCAGGACAACTGTGTCTGAATTGTCTAGTCAAAAGAGTGGACTTGAACGCCAGGTAGCAGAATTACAAACTGTTTGTTGTGAAAAAGATGAGCAAATTAAAAATTTATCCTCAAGCTCAGAGGATAGTTTAAAATCTTTACAGGAACTTGTTGGAGAAAAAGATGCAAAAATTCAAACTATGTTGGAAAGTGTTAATGAAAGTGAGGTGAAATTAAAAGAAATGGATAGTAATTTGACACTTTTGAAAGACCAAAGTGAAAAGGAAGCACAAAGGTGTTCTGAAATACAGGAGAAGCTTGAGAACAAAGTTGCAGACTTGGAAGAACTTGTTACTGCCAAGAACTTAGAAATACAAAGAGTAAGTGATAAATTAACAGATATGGACTCAGGGCATAATTCAAAAGTTGAATCTCTCCAAAGTGAGATAAGAACATTGTTAGATAATAGATCTGCAATCTCGAAAGAATTATCCACAAAAAAGGAAATTGAAAGGAAGTTAGAGGAACAACTCTCACAATTACAAAAGAATCTTGCTGAAAAAGAGGAGATCATCAGAGAGATGTCTTCTACACTCAGTTCTGTGCAGGAAGTGAAAGAGCATCAAGTGGAAGTTATTGATCAACTGACACGGGATCTAGAAAACATACAACAGGAAAAGGCTGACCTTGCAGAGACAGTGGAAAAATTAACCAAGGACATACAGGGTTCAACTACAGAGAGAAACCTTCTTACAGAAAAGGTTAGTGACTTAACAGTTTTATGCAATGAAAGACAGTCCACTATAGAGACACTTAACCGTTCTGTTGCAGACTTACAGACACGCATGGACGAGCTCTCTCATATTAAAAACTCTGAAATATCTTCTTTAAATGAGCATGTGAATTCCTTATCCCTGGAATGCCAAAATCTGAAATCACTACGGGATTCTCTTGAATCTCAGCTTGAGCATGTCAATCACAGCATGAAAGTGTTGCACGACAGGCATGAGGAGGCTAGTCATTGTCTTAAAGATGTAGAAGAAAAAGCAAAGAAGTACGAACAAGATTTACTGGAAGCAAAAGAGAAACATCTCTCTGATCAAACTTGTATAAATGAATATGAGAAAAGTCTTCAAGAAACTAAAATTTTGTTATCTGAGTATTTGAATGAAATAGAACAATTGACATCCAGGCTATCTACAACCTCCCACTCTTTATCATTGATGAAACATGAAAACGTGTCATTAAAACGTGACTTGGATTCCGAACGTGAAGTTCATGCAGCTGTCCAAAAATTTGCTCAGGAAAAAGAAGACAAGACTACAAGATTGCTAACTAGTTTAGAGAAAAATGAAGACAAAGTGTGTACATTACTTAAAGATATAGAACAGAGAGAGATGTATTCTGAATCCCTTGAAAGAGAGAAAAAAGTTTGTACTGACAAATTACAGGAGCTACAGGATGAAATTGTCCAGAAAGACAAAAAAATAATGGAACTTCAGAAAGATCAAGAAAACAGAGCTGAAGAGATAAACAATTTAAATGATACCATTGCCACAAAGGACAGGACTCTTATGGAGCTGAGAGAGAGTTTTGAGTGTGTACAGAAAGAGGTTCAAGAGAAAGCCAGAATTGTTGAAGAAAAGGAAGCTTTTGAACAACAACAAATAGATAAGTTAACTGAAGTAACTATGATGAAGAAAACTTTAGAGTTACAATTAAAGGAGACAGAGGAAGAAATTGATAGACTTGCTGGGTGTATTTCCTGTTTAAACATCAGAATAAAAGAGGAAGAGGAAAGCAAAACAGTCTCCATCAGTAATCTTCAGAAGGAAATTGAAGAATATCAAAACCATCTTGATTCACTGAAAAATTCAAAGGAAGAACTTTCTGATGAAGTGACCTTATTGAAGAGGGAAAAGAAAGACCAAACTGAATCCATGATGAGTTTGCAAACTAACTTGGTAACATTAGAAGGAAAAGCAGCAGCATTAGAAAAGCTAAATGCAGAGAAAGAGAATGCGTTGAAAGAGTTGCAGCTTGCCTTTGAGGAAAAAGTTGAGACTGCTTCTAACTTGGAAAATTCTTTGGTACAGTCAGAAGAGGAATGTACAAGACTAAGTCACACAGTAAATTGCAAGGAGGAAGAACTTTCTGATTTAAAAAGTAAACTTTCTGATCTTGGAATTGAAGTGCAGGCTTCAAAGGAATCAAATATGATGAAAAATACAGAAATACAAAATTTACATCAAATTATATCTGAAAAGAAAGCTGAAATTCTAAAAATAAATGAAAAACTACAATGCTTAGAGATTTCAGAGGCTTCACTGAAAGAAGAATTATTGAAGAATGCTAATTATGTAAAGGACTTGTTGACTCAGAGAGAGGTTGCTAATGAATTATCAAGCAAAGAGATGGAGGTCCTTCGAAAAAGTAGTGAAAGTAATGCTGAAAGACTAGAAGAGGTAATTCTTGCAAAGGATCATGCTATAGAAAATGCCCAAGCAAGAATTACAGAGTTGGAGAAGATGGAAAATCATTTAAATGGTAATCTTAAAATGTCAAACCAGGAAGTTATATCTCTGAAAGAAAGCATCACTAAGCTGAAAGAAGAGTGTGATAAAGAAAAAACAGAAAAAGAAAATCTAGAAAACTACTTGGATAAGCTAAAAGAGGAGCAAAACCAAAACATTGAAGAAATTGAAAAATTAAATAAGTTGATGGTCACAAAAGAGGAATCTTTGAGAGAGTCCACAATGAAGTATGAGCATGCTCAGAAAGAAATTGTTTCAAAAACAGAGTTGGTAAAAGCTATGGAAGAGGAAAATGAGAATAAAGAAAAGCACATTCAAAAGCTTTCAACCACAGTTCTAGAAAAGGAAGACATTCTACATAAAACCACACAGGAAAGAGAGATACTGAGAATGGAAGTGACTGAAAAGGAAAAAGAGATATCCGATTTAAAGTCAACTTCGAATGCTGCCTGTGAAAAAGTAGAGAAAATGGAACAATCAACATCAGCAAAAGATGCCAAAATCAAAGATCTTCATTGCACTCTTTTGGAAAAAGAGGAACTTATTCATGAGAGTGAATTACAGATTCAGACAAAAACTAATGAGATTTCAGAACTAGAAAATAACCTGTTACAATCTGAAAAATCTGTAGTAGACTTAAAGAAAATAAGTGACAATCAAAATTCAGAAATTGAAGCTCTCAAAAGCATTGTGCAGGAGAATAGTCTAACAAACAGTTCAATTCAGGAAGTTCTGAAACAAAAGGAGGAAGAGTGCAACCATTTATTACTAGAACTGAAGAATACCCAGACTACATTGAAAGAAATGGAAGAAGAAAAACAGAGAATTATTAGTGAAAAAGAAAATTTGGAAATTTCTTCTCAGTCTTTATCCATATCCTTGAAAGATAAAGAGGTTCTGATAGGTTCAATAGAATCTCAGCTTACAGAACTAATGAAAGATCTAGACAGAGTCAGAAAAGAAAGAGACGTTGCTCTACAGGAAAGCTCCAAATTACAAACAGAACTAGCAAATCTAAAGGAAGAAAATAAAATTTCAAACAATGTCCTATGTGAAAAGGAGAAGGAATCGGATGAAATCATTTCTAGCTTAAAGGAAGAACTGAAAGTTCATATGCTTGAAAAAGAAACAATTTTTGAATTGATACTCAGTGAGGACCTGTCTCAAAAATTGTCTGCGGAATCACCTGTCTCACAACAAATGGAAAAAGCTGTTTGCAAGTTAGTTCATTTGAAGTCATTAATTGAAAGTGCCAAAGAAGAGTCCCATCAGATAGATAGTCAGATGGATGTATTGAAACAGGAAATGGAAGACAAGAATTTGAAACTTGAAGCACAAATATCTAGTCATTTACATACATCATTGGTTCTAGTCAAAGAAAAGCAAAAGTCAGTAAAAATGGAAAATGATCTCAAAGAGGCCATTAAAGCAAAGAAAGATGCACAGGAAGAACTTCATCGGACTGTTTGTGAACTCAATAGTAAAGACAATGCTGTTTATTCCTTGAAGACTGAAATTGAACAGTTGAAATTAGCTAGCAGACAAGAACTTACTGTTTTGCAACAAGGTCATGATGAGCTGGTGAGCAAAGCAAAAGATACCTTACAGGAAATGTACAAGGAAAAGGATAGTCTAATTGAAGAATTGAAGCATGTAAATGAACAAAACATTATATCCTCCCAAAAATTAGAAATTTCAGAGAAGCATTTAATTGAGTTGAAAGCCGAGACTACCAGTTTATCTTCAAAACTAATACAGGCTGAAAATGAAAATCAGGGTTTCATTGCAGAAGTAAAGAGTCTAGAAGAATCTCTGGCACAAGAGAGGTCAAATAACCTTTCAATAATAAGTGAAAAGACTGATAAAGTTGAGAACCTCCAATCTGAATTGCACTCTCAGGTGGAAGAATTACACAACACTCAAAAGCACCTGGAGGCTCTGGAAAAAGATCTGAGAGAAGAAATAGCAAAACTCTCAGACAAAAATGCAGGTTTGCTGAATCGGAACGATGAGTTGACAGAAAGCAAAAGAAAACTGGAAGTGGAAAGGGCTGCTCTTGAAGAGTCAGTGTCTTCATTGCAGGATGAAATGAAGAAAGAGGAACAGCAGCTAAAGGACTCAGCAGAAGCTTTCAAGGCCCTCAGACAGGATTATGATTTTATGGAAAAATGTAATTGTGATCTTGAAGTCAAGGTTGAAGAATTAAAAACAAAGACAGAGAATTTGGAACTTGAATATAAGAAAAAGACAGAAGATCTTTCAAAGAGTCATTCAGAAGTGATAAAACAAAAGGATCTTTTTCAAAAAGAAATTGATCTCCTCACTGATGAACTGGTTTGTAAGAAGAAAAATCTTGAGCAGTTTGAAAGTGAACAGCAAAATCTTAATGCATTGAATGAAAAACTAAATTTGGCATTGCTTGAAAAGGACAAAGAAGGAATGGATCACCAAAGAGAAGTACAGGAGTTATCTGTATCCTTTGCCAATCTTCAGGATGAATTAAAGACTCTAAAAGAATCCATGGTTATCTTGGAAACTAAATTAGAAGAGGAATCAAAAAGGTACACTGATATGAAACATATGTATGATGAGGCTGTTCAGTCAAATTGTAAGTACCAGGAAGACTTAGAGATATCAAGGCAGAACTTAAAGGAAGCAATGGGAAAAAGACAGGCTGTTAAAGAGGACCTACATGAAGTGAAAGAATCTTTTGAATTAAAGGTGAAGGAGCTATGTGCCCTTTCTACTGAAAAAGAGACACTGGAGAAAGAATTAGAAAACTCAAAAGATTTATATGAAATGTGTTTTAAAGAGAAAGAGACATTAGAAAATTTGGTTAAAGAGTTGGAACAAACTTTATTGGAAAAAACTTCTAATTATGACAGAAAAATAACAGAAATTGAGTTGCTTATGTCAACTGTAGCAGAGATGCAAAATGCCAATGACTTTTTAAAGAAGAAGTTTCAAGATGCAGAGGATGAGAAGCAGGCTTTAAAAAAGAATTTGGTAGATATCCAAGAAAATGTTCACACTCTTAATGGACACAAAGAAGATTTATCGAAGAAAGTTGAAGAACTGCAGTATAAACTGGAAGCTCACATGTCTAAGAATGAAACTCTTGCAAAAGAACTAGAGCAGGTCGAAACAGAAAAGGAAATGCTGTATTTGAACAGTGAAAAATTATCCAAGGACTCCGATGACATTAAGCTTGAAAATGATTTGTGGAG